CTGCTGAAAAAAACGACCACATATTCTCAGTGACGCTCAGCAAGAGAAGCGGGTGGAGGAGAGAACCCACGTGGCGTTTCCACGGGACGGGAGACCGTGTTCCATTTCTGTCAGGTGAACCAAAGGGTTCAAGCCGTTTTCATTAAAATTTAAATTTCAGCAGGCGCTCTCTCTCTCCCTTCGCTGTCCTTTGAACGTTTGACTGGCAACCATTTCATATTTCAATCTCGGCAGAACAAATTGAATTAGATGTTGAAACCAAACTCGGCTCCGCTCACCACAGCCTGCACACGCGGCTTGCACTAATCCTTTCCTGGGTGCTGCAGAGCACAGACGGGCCCTGCGAGGGCCGGCCCGGCCACAGGAGACGAAACGGCCCACGGAGGCGGTAAAGGGAGAGGAGAAACAGGCGGGCAGTCTTGTGCCTGACGCGTGGGTGCCCGAGTCGGGCAGACAGAACCCCGTGTGGATCCAGCGTTTCTGCGCTTGGATTCCTGGCGCCCAGCACAGTGCCTCCCACGCAGGGGCCCCTACGAAGTATTTGGTGAATGAAAGCGAATGAATGGGGTGAGGGTTAGCGGGTGGCTCTGAGGACTCGCTCCGCCGGCCTCTGCCTCTGGCCGGTGCTGTTTCTGTGTCTCCTTCCCGAGAAGCCGCAGGGTGCCTGGTGCTTCCCTGCGTCAAGGCGCTTCTGAGGGGATCTGGTTCACTAGGGTCTCTTGTTCCTGCACTCCAGCCCCTGCTCCCCGTGCAGACCGGCGGAGGGTGCCAGCTCTGGTTTCCCAGGAGGAGGGCAGCAGACCTCCAGGCCTGGCCCGGCCACCACTGCACAGCCGGTATCACTCCGCGGCTGTGGGCCTTTGCCGGTGGGGCACCGCTGAGCACCTGTCGTTAGGCTGCGTAAGTCTGGCCTGGGCTAGAAGCGCTGACCCGGGGCCCGGGCCTGGCTTGCAGACCACTGTGGCGCTGGCATCCTGCCTGCGGTGACCCCGAGACGGAAAGGGTTAGGTACAAACTCGGCAACACTGGGGAAAGGGCGTGCGTGTTTCCCAACTCTGCACCGTGGCAACCACCGGCCGACCCTGGGGCTGGCCTTGGGTTTGTGCAAGGGCTGGCCGGGTCCACGGTGTGATGCTCGGCCTGCTCTGGGCCTGGTGGGCAGACGGCACCCGCTCCAGGCCACCTTCCTGGATACACGGACTGCCTTCCACCATGACCCACCTCCTGGCGACTCCCAGTGCTGCCCTGTGCCTCCGATGTGGGCCCAGCAGGCCTATTAGACACAGGCTGGGGTCTGACTTCTTTGGGCATTCACTGGATGAAGCCCCACAAGCTTTCCTCTTTGTCAAATAATAATAATAATAATAATAATAATAATAATAATAATAAATGACAGCTACCATTTATTTAGTGTTCATTTGGCACGGAACAGTCTGCTGAGTGCTTTCCATCCATAATCTTCTAAAAAAAAAAATCCCATGAGGCAGGAATGCTTCCTGTACCCATTTTAAAGATGTGGAAATCGAGGCAGGAGATGCTGGCACCCACACGGCAGGTCACACAGACAGGGGCGGGTGGAGCTGAGATCCCAACCCCGGCCTTCCTGGACTCCGGGCCTGTGCCTCGCGCTCTCCCCCCGCACCCCTCCCGCTGCAGTGCACTCACTGGCCCTCGTCTCTGCCCGCATCTGCCCACCTGTGCCCTCCTGCAGGCTGACCGCACGTCCTCCTCGCCCATCCAGGGTGTCTGTGGAGCACTCTCGCCTGCCGGGCCCAGGGGCTCAGCTGCCTCTGCTCCTCCCCGAAGGCTGGCCCCTCGCTCTGGACACTGTCCCACCCTTCAGAGCTCCTCATGCGCTGGGCTCACCCCCAGACCACCAGGCTTCAGCAATTCCTTGGGGTCTCCACCTGCTCAGCCTTCTGGGGCCCCACGCGCACAAACCAAACTCCCGCCTCCCAACTCTGCTTCCCTCTGTCCCTCCATGAGGCCGCTGTGGGGCCCCTTCCTGCCACCCCGGGTAGCAGGCCTCACTGTACCTGTCGGGCAGTTCCACGGAAGGGGTTTCAGGCAGAGTTTGCTACAAAGGAGACGGAAGACCTGGGAGCCAGACACCAGTGGGCGACAGCACCCCCAGGGCCTCTGGGAGGCGGTGGTGTTACCGGGTCCAGGGCTGGACCCCCACGCAGGACAGAGGGAGGCGGAGGAATGCCCTGGCTTCTCTATTCTCCAGCCCCAGACACCCGCTGGTGCCCACCCCTGGCCAAACCAGACCGAACGCCTGTTGGCGAGGACCCTGGGCACTAGACCTATCGGGGTCAGAGCAGGTGGTGGGGAGTGGCCAGGCGGCACACAGGTGGGGTTCCAGCCTGCCCCAGCTCTCCTCCTGCCAGCCAAGCCCTGCGCCTGAACCTGAGCGCTCACAGGTCAGGTGCAAGGGTCCCCGATGAGCCGTGGCCCACGGGCTCTCGGCACCACGCCCCTCCCTGGGAGTCTGCTCCGGTCCTGGCGCCAGCCTGTTCTCTTCCTAGCTCTGTCCTGACCATTTGGAGTGGCAGACCCCTCTGCGAAGTGGATGAGCCCGTCTCCTGCCCCCGCGCAAGCCTACACAGGGGTCAGGGGCCCCCGTCCCCAGGGTGGTACTCTGTCCTCAGCCGTTCCCTCTGTGCTTTATTACCGGAATTTCTCTCCCAGATCTGGTTGCTTGGACCACAGATGTCCCATCATCACTTCAAACGCAACTGAAGTGCCCTCCCGAAAGCTCTCCCATCTTGCCCACCTCTCTGGTGACAACAGTGACTATCTATCACCCAGAGTCCCCCAGTTCACCCTGTACACACTGGATGGGTGCATTTCTCCTAAACTGCTTTCGTGTGGCCCCTTGCCCCCAAAGGGGAAGAGACGGGCGCCTCCTATGGGCCAGGCCCAGCAATGACCTAGTTTTACTTCATTATTGCCTTGCTCTCTTTTCCTTTAATAATAAGAACCATAATAACAGTGACGATTCTAATAACAGAAATGACAGTAGCCACACTTGGCTCTTCTCCCACCCCGGTCCCCACCCTCACGTCCCTGTCTCAGATGTTCTTGTCCCTGTTCCTTTCAGTCACAGCACTTAGTGCAGGGGACAGCTTGCAGTTTGAACAAGTGACTGTGTAATTCTGAGTCCTGTCCCTTTCCCTTTCAAAAGGACTTCTGCTTTAAACAGTTAGGAACGACTAAAGCTGCGTGTTTAACCAGAAGAACCCACATGCCCCTACAACACAGCAGTGGGAGGGGACAGGGTGGACCCCAGCCCTGTCATCTTGGGAGCCTGGTCACCTGAGGATCTGGCCTGGGGAGGTTCGACACTGACCCTATCGCCCAGTCCTGCCCAGACGGCTGTGGTCACCTGATGTCTGTGGTGGGACACCCACAGCTGTAAAAGCTGGGGTGAGCCACTCTGGGAGTGTGTCTTTTGCTTCTGTTCTTAGCGATGAGCCAGGACTGATAAGGACACGCCTGCTCCACAGGGACCTGGGAGGAGGCTAAGCCTCGAGGGGCAGCCAGCGCCGTGGAGCCTGGCTTGGCTCCCAGGCCACTCTGCAAACTGGATGGAGGCTGGAACCTCCCAAAATGCACAGACCGAGTTTTACGCACGAAGATAGGCGATTCCTGGACTCTCACTCGGAGCCCCATCCAGAGGCCCAAATTCAGAAGTAAACAAAAGTCCCGATATGCAATGACTGATTTACTCCAAGCACCATCTCTGACGTAGGCACAATATCACCCCCAATTTATGGAAGAGAAGCTGAGGGTCAGAGGGGACCGTGCTGGTCCGAGGTTCCATAGCTGGGCATGGCTAGGCCCGGAGTCAGACCCGGGTCACAGGGGCTGTGGCGCTTTCTTCGCCACCATCCTGCCTCCTGGTGTGTGCTGGACACAGCCCTCCCTGTCAGGGGCCGTACCTCCAGGCTGGGGCAGGTGTGTGCACGCAGGGGCCCCAAGCCTGGGACAGGCCTTGGGACATGGCTTGCCGGGGCTGGGAACCTGGACGCATTTCACAGGGCCCCCAGCCCGTGAACACAGGGCGTACGCCATTACTGACACAGCTGAGCTCAACCAGTGAGACCGGCGTCCGGGCTGGGGACTGGGGGCTTTGCGAGCAGCTCAGAGGCTTCCCAGTCCCGAGGTCAGCAGGGCCGGTTTTGTCACCAGGGCTTGCGGTCCCAGGTGACGAGGATGGGGCAGGACAGAGGCCCGGTCCCAAGCTGTGGGCAGGTCCTTGGACAGACGTGGGTGGGAACTCCAGCTCAGCAGCCCTGGGGGGAGAGCAGGAATGGAAGCTTCTGGAGCCTGTCTCACATGCCCAGCACCGTGGATTCCTGCTGCATTTCCTTTCTCACCCAAGGCCTATGAGGCGGGAACTAGTTAGTGGGGAGGCCGGGCGCAGGGAGCTTTGGTAAGGAGGCTGGGGTGCGCAGCCTGAGCTGAGTGGAGCAGACAGCGTCGCTCCGGGGGGGAGGGGGGGGGCTATACTGCTCCCAGGTCTGGGGCAGCGAGCTACGAGGGTCCCGTTCCCACGTGCTGTGTACCCTGGAGCAAACACGGAATCCTTCCGTACCCCGACTTTCCTACCAGTAGGATGGGGTCCTGCCGCGTCTCAGGGCTGCTGGGAGGAGGAGCGGGTGGGCGCAGTGAGCAGCCAGGGTTAGAGGGGAGGAGGCCTGGTTTGTCCCTGCCGCGTACCGGCCCCCCGCGCCACCATAAGGGACTTCCTAAGGTGACCACACCGGCCTGCTCTCCGGCCCTCCCATGCCGGCACAGAGCAGGTGTCTGCGGCACAGGGTCCCAGGACGGGCAGGGGGCTGAGGCCATCGTCCCCTCCGACCTTGGACCGGCCAAGGGCGGGGCTGCCTGTCGCTGCCGCCCCACTGTGCGTGCTGCCCCTCCCAGCCCACATGGTAGGGAGCACAGAAGCCGGAGCGGCTGTCCCCTGTCCCCAGGGCCCTGGAGCCACGTACCCTCTCGGTGCCAGCTCACAGCTGAAGGGTTTGCCCCTCGCTGTCGTTTTCGCTGTCTTCCAGCTGCTCCAGGATGTCGTCCAACACCACAGACCGCTTTTTCTTCGGGGGCGCTGTGGGAGCCCAGATGGCAAGAGAGGAGAAAAGAACAGCCGAGAGGGTGGGAGGCAGGCAGGGAGGGAGGGAGGCGAGCAAAATGGAGGGCGGGGGGACAAGAGAACAGAAAGACGAGAACAGGAGAGGGAAGTGGTGAGACACAGGAGAGGAGAGAAGGAGAAATAAGAAAAGATGAGAAAGGGGGAGAGGCAAGGATGAGGAGGTATGAGAGGCCGGGATGGGGGTGGGGCGGGTGGGGAACAAAACAAGATGGGGGAGAGAGAGTTCGGGTTAGTCTCAGCTTTGGCCCAGGGGAGCTGCCCCTCTCTGGGCCCCAGAAACAAACCCTCCTGCTCTGTGGGCCACCCCGCCTCCATCTCCCACCCACAGAGGAAAGGTGGAGAGGAAGGCCCCCTCCCGGCAGCTCTGTTCATGAATCCCTGCTTGCCTTGGGGCAGTGAGGGCAGCGAGGGACTGGAAACCTTCAGAGGGGCTGAGGCAAGCCAGGGCAAGGGTTGAGGGAACAAGTAGAAGCTGTTCTGTTTTCCTGGAGGCCGCAGACTCTTAACCATATAGCAGGCGGCTGGCATACAGTAGGTGCTCAATAAATGCTGGGTGAACAGATGCTCAAGGATTTCAGAAGAGGCATGGAGGGAATAACAATTAGAGGTGGCTTTAGAGAGGAGGGGCTATTTGACTTGGGGTTTGAAGAATGCAGAGGAGTTCTCTGTGAGGCAAGGGGAAGGGGGTGTAGATGCACGGCATGAACATATGAAAGGGCATGGTGGGCTCGGCAAAACATATGCCCCCTGGGCCCCAAACACTACTGAGTACCTACTGTGTGCTACAGCCCTACTGTGTGCTACGGCTCTACTCCTCTCAACAATCCCACAGGTAGGTATTACTACTGCCTCTTACAGGTGAGGGAACTGAGCCATAGACAGGTAAGTAAGTCTAAGGTCACTCAGCCAGGAAGTGGTGAAGCCAAGATTTGAACCCAAGCCACACCAAAGCCTATACAGTCTTTGCACTTTTCATGAAAGACTCTGGTGCTGGCCAGAGAATGCTGGGGAGACAAAGGGTGGTAAAAGAAGGCGCACTGGTCCCCTTAACCCTCCAGGAAGGGAATGGGGTGGGGGAGATGGGCTGGAGGCTGGCCTGCTCTGTCAGTCCCTCTACTAGTCTAACCACTCGTTAACAGGCAGCCTCACTCCCAGATTAACACTTGATTTGTATCAAGGCAGCTGTAGAGGCTGTCCCCATCCCCTCACCTCCCTGGCTCAAACAACACCTCCTCTGTGAAGCCTTCTAGGTGTGGCAGGTCGCCCCCGGGCCCCTGTGCCTCCATCTCCCCCCTGGGCTGGGAGCTCTCTGCGGGCACGTCTCTCTCACCGAAATCTCTGTGGAGCCCAGCCTGGTGCTTGCCCCAGGGTGGAGACTCTTGGGTCTTTCTAGGTCATCTTCAAAAAGTGACTTGGCCTCTGAGCCTGTTTATTTCATCTCATTCCTCCACTGACTCCCCTCATGTTCTCCATGGCTACCGGCCCACACCAAGCACTTTCACCTTCTCATGCCCCCACACTCACCAACCTGGTTAATTCTAATTCCCTCACAGCAGCCTGAGGGATCCTTCTAGAACATACCACTCCAGGGTCTCAAAGCTCCAGGGCTTTGCAGAGCACACAGAGGGACGTCCCAAGCCCTCTGGAGGGTGTCAATTGAGCTGGCTCTCCCTGCAGGCTTGTGAAACGCACTCCCACCACAACACCTCCATACCCACAGGCTCCCCCCTTTATCTTAACCCCAGCTCCTGAGTCCCCCTCCTCAGAGAGGACTCCCCTGACCACTGTCTAAAACAGGACCCCCAAGCCTCAACCCCTCTCTGCACTTCTCCCCACGGCAGGCATTTGTTTGGGGTGCTGTCTCGTCCACTCTGTGTCCCCTGCCTTAGCACACGGCCTCGCGCCTGCTGGGGGGTCACGCGTATTTGCCAAATAGGGGGGATGAGCAAGGGGCGAGAATGAGAAGATGTGGGAGGCTGCCCCCCGTCCCCCTGTGCACCCCCCGCCCGGGGAGCCTCAAGGCCTGGCAGCTGTATCCATCATTGTTAATCACGAAGGGGCGAGGGGGCAGGACGGCTGGGAGCAGGGGCGGCAGGCCCCGGCTCAGGCACCCACGTCCCTTCCTGCTGCCTGCTCGATGCTCTTGGTTTCCTTACAATCGCTAGGCTCTGGAGGTGCACAATGCCTTCTGGAAATTGAATTTGCGGGCAGGTAATAGGAGCTGGGAAATAGAAGGGCAGCAAAATAGGGCCTGCGGGCCTGTCACCGACGCCCCCCTCCCAGCTACTAACAATGCGGGGTGGGGTGGGTCTGTCTTATTGGCACCTGTGTCCCAGGGCCCAGCACATAGTAGGTGCTCCGTAATCATTTATTGAATCCAAGAGTGAAAGAATAAATGACTACAAGGTGGGTAATTTTTTACAAATAAAACTGGTAAGGTGAGGACAGCAATCAAACAAATGAGTGGCAGAGCTGGGAGGCACCCAAGATGTCATCTGGCTGGGGAAACTGAGGCCCGGGGTGGGGGGAACACAGCCGGAAGAGGAAACACACAGGATGGGCACTTCACAAACAGCATCTCATCTGAGTTTCATAAGGGCCCCTTGTAGGTGGTGGGAGTCATCACTCCCATTTCACAGGTCTTAAGTCGGAGGTGCACACACTCTGACACCCCAGTTAACACATGGCAGCCTCGGCGCGTCCAATTTGCAACCCACACCTGCTGTCTGTGTTGTGCCACGTGGTGTCTCCTGAGGGGCCCTGCTTGGGGGTGGGGGGGCACAGCAAAGGTCACACGGGCCCTGCGACAAGGCATAAGGTCGCCATGACTGGCTCTAGGATGATACACTTGGCTTGGGCACCTCCCATGCTGTGTGACCTCCAGCGAGGCACGTACCCCGCCCGAGGTGCAATCTCTCATGTATAAAATGGGGGCAGGGCAGTTCCTCCACCCCTTCTCTCCTCTGGGGCCACCCTCTGCTGACCCACAGGCCCTCCGTGACTGTTCGGAGCAGGTGAGGGGTCCTCCTTCCTGCGAAAGCCTCTCAGAGCACCCCAACTTCTCCTCAGCACTTATCATAACTGCTCAGGAATGTGGGTGCTGACACCACAGCCCCACCACGGACTAGCGGGGTGGCTGTGAGCAGCAGACTTAGCACCTCTGTGCCTCAGTTTCCTTATCTGTAAAATGGGGACACTATTAATACCTCCCTCATGGAGCTGTGGTGAGGATTAAAGGACTGAAAAGAGCAGTGCCTGGCCCCTGGGGAGGGCCCCATCGATGGCGCTGAGATCAATATCTTTGTTACTGTTACTCCTATAAGAGGTGTTGATTTAGCCTGTCTCTCTTTGCCATTAGCCCAACGAGCGCCAGGTGGGTGGGGACTGTCGCAGGAAGGCTAGTCCAATCAAGGCCAAACGAAGCATGCCCTCCCCGCCCCCACCAGGTTGGAAAACGGAGGCACAGGGGTACCCACCAAGCGCTAAGTGCCAAGGGATGTGGGAGGCAGGCTGGCGACTGGCTGACTCCACAGCCTTGGAAGTCAGTCAACCTGAGGTCCCAGCTCTGCTACTTCATAGCCCTGTGACCTTGGGCAAGTCACTTCCGCTCCCTGGGTCTGGACACCGGGGATGGGGCGACTGCAAGGATGACCATGTTCATTTGAGTTCACGCCTGGCACGCCACTGCTGCTCTCGTGGGCCTCGGGCACCTGGCTCAGGTTGGGCCCCCAAATGCCTGTCCCTCCCCCGGTGTGTCGTGGGCCCCAAATTCCCACCGAACGACCCAAGGCACCGTCACTCCCCGCCCCGCCTGTGTGCTGAGCGCCCTGCTTGCAGGGAACAGCTGCTGAAGTCCCACGTCCCAGACATCAAAAGCCTCAGTGGGTTTTCACCAAACAAACAGAATGCAGAACCGGAGAAAGGTGTAAAATAAACGGAACAAGCTGTGCGCTTTCTTTCAGTATTACAGCTGCACCCGAAGATAAACAACAAGTGAATGTCACCCAACATCAATACCCGAGAAATTAACTTGACAAAAAGCTCAGCCGGCCCCCAACAACCCCCCAGTCCTGCCCCCTCCCCACCCCCACCCTCCAACCACCATTTTGCATTTCTGGAGTTCCCATCTAATGATTTTATTTTTCAATTAATTCCTTGACAGGATGCCAGCCCGTGTCTCTCAGTCGTCCCTGGCTGGCGCTGTCGCCCGCCCTGCGTGGAAGGCAGAAAGCACAAGCGGGTGGGTGGGGGGCTGTGGAGGACAAGAGCCGGCGCTGCCTGGGGTTTTGTTCCCAATCGAGGAAAGCCAAGAAGAGAGGGGAGAGGAGCGTGGCTGGTGGGGGAGAAGGGGCTGTGACAGGTACCCCGAGAAGAGGCAGGGTGAACAGCCGGGGGAGCTGGGTTCTGCGCCCAGGGGTGTGGGGTGCCGGCTGCTGGGCTCAACGCCTGCCGCCCGTGGTGGGGCCCCCTGGGGCCAGGGGACTCCTCTCTGTGCTCAGTCTGCAGTTTGTGCATGGTCCCCAGCTCTGAGGGGGCTTAAGGGTAGTAGAAGGGGGGGTAAGGGTTAGTCCAGGGCCAGGCCTGCAGAGGTGTCGAGTAGGAAATGTTAAGAGGACCCCCAGAGGGCGGGGCAGAGACCCCGGCAGGCTGAGAGCCGGAAGTGTCCCCAGGCCTCAGTCAGAGCTCTCCAGGCTCTGGGCAGCAGGCTGGGTGTGGACTTCCAGAAAACCCACAAGCTGGGTGACATTACTGTCCCATTTGTCAGATGTGCGAGCAGCTGCTCCGGGGATTTGGGGAGGTTACATGACCACAAACTCTCCAAATGGTGCGCTGAGCTCAGATCAGGCTGGGGGGGCCTTCCTGTCACACCGTGTAATGCCCAGGGCTCAGCGGCCCACCCTGCGGTGGAGACCCTAGCCCAGCCCTCCTTCAAACACTCCTCAACAGGAAAGGTG